CCCCCCCCCAAGTGGCACAGCAGTATCTCTGCGGACTTATACTGCTAAAAACAGGGTTTCGATACCCGTGGTAGGCAGAGCACAGATAGCCCTTTGTGTAGCTTTGTGCTTAACAACAACAAAACAAAACAAACTTTATTACATGGATTCATAAGTATGAACATTTTGGTTCATAATAAACCGTAAACTCCGTGAATTTCAAGAAAATCTGTTGCTTTACAGATATTGTAAAAAATACCAAGAAGTGGGCGAGCTGGTATTGATATTGTAAAAAAGCTGATATTGTTATTAGAGGGCACTGGTGTTATTAGAGGGCATTGGTGTTATTAGAGGGCACTCATTCTTCTTATGCAAATTTACAGGAAAGCTTCGAGTGTTATGTACGTAGAATTCATTCCGATAGTTCGCACAGACTAAGACGCATGGCAAGGGAAAACGCTTATAGCTCAGGGAATGTGAAGTGGTCCTGCGACTTGCTTATTCCTCCAGGTTATAAAAAACATTGGACTAAAGAGGACACACAAAAATGTCAAAACTTGTGTTCCACAGTCGCGATTCTTAACTTTATTTTTGAAAGGGAATATGTTTACATTAATAATGTTCAATGAAGACTATTTGTTAATGTACGTCTTCAAACTATTAGAGATATTAACTGTTATGGTTCTTATAAACACGACGCAGCAGCGTCATATAGATTAAGCAGCTCTTCCCGTTACCCTTTCAGTGCACTCTAAGCTGAAAGACAATGGTAAAGTTTGAAAGCCTGGGCGAGCTACGAATGCAATGTTCGACGATGCTGGATCGTGGGGTTAACGTCCTTAAGGATCTCAATTTATTAGGATTCTGAGAGATTTTGAATAATTTTAACAGTCAATCTATTTTGCTTTGACAAACACGCCAATACGTAAAATCTTAGGCTGAAGAATTATAAATAAAGCATACAAACGATCTACATTTTACACATAACATTAACAAGTGGATCAGTCGAATACTACTATGGTAAGTGTTTATCATTGGTTGCTATGGTGAGTATTTATCATTGGTTGGTGGGCCAGCTATTTTGTTCGAATACCGCAGTGCAGAGAAGACAGTGCCCCCGCTTCCGTTTAACGGTGTTCGTTTGTTTGATTTAGAGGAAAGCCTCATCGGGCTACGAGCTGTGTCCACAGTGGGGAATCGAACCCCGGATTTTAGTTTTGTAAATCCACAGACTTACCGCTGTCCCGGTTGTCATATAGATAATGAGTAATGAAACAAGAAATACAGTTGACCTTTCTCTCATACAACACAGTGTTATTACTATACTTAACCGTGTATGTGAACAGTGTAGTAGAAGAGGAATAATACTATTAAGATTTCTTTCGTTATTAAAGGGAAAACACAAAAAAGTGCTCAGAAAAAATCACAGTTTCTGTATAACAGCGTAAACAAAACTAATAATTATATACTGTTTACATGCGCATCACAGAACCTGTAATATCATGTATTAAGATAAAACAGTTCATGCTCGTGACGTTTATCAAACCAAATATATCATATATGGTATCGAACTCATCAGCCAGCTGAGCTATTCGTCATAAAAGGTTTTAGATCGTAACTTTTTAGTGAAAAGCTTACTTTGAAGTCTTAGGTTAGTAAAATTTTCGTGATTGATTGTCGAAAGTGAATAAGCCAAAAAAAATGTATTCTATTGTAGCAAGACGTTAATTTAATAAACTGATGTGTACATAACACAGGTGACCTTGATGAAGGTAAGAATGACTTTTATATAATACGGGGGACCTTGATGAAGGTAAGAATGAATTCATATAACACAGAGGACCTTGATGAATGTAAGGCTATATAATCTATATTTCAAAGTCGTGAACCCAACTTCTTTATTTTTGCTGACAATGTTGGAATCTACCAACTTTCAACGTCGTATGCGACATGTTTCAATCAATACTGTCACGTCAATTATTCCTATACAGAGCAAGATTGAGAAAAAAACACCTATAGTACTATTATTTCTTTTAATATACTTTACTTAAAAGTGATTAAAAAGTGTTTACTGATGATTTGATTAGTTTTTTTTTCCATATTTTAATGACATTAGTCAGAGAAAATAAATGTTTCTACCACCAGTCAAAGGACAGTAGATTTGTTTGTAAAGTTACTTGTTTGACTTGTGAAGTTCGTATTCCTGATGTAAAATAATAATTAATTGTAATGATATTAATTTTTCCGAGGTTCGTTTGTTTAAAAAATATTCTAGAATTTAAATTTAAATCTGATGCGGCACCTTATGATGCGGCACCTTATGTGAGTTAAGCGACGAGGTCAGAGACCGTTAGGATTCAGAAACAGCCATCCTTAACTTCCATTTACTAAGCCCCACAGTGGCTCAGCGGTGTGTCTGCGGACTTACAGCGATAGAAACCTGGTTTTGATACCCGTGGTGGGCAAAGCACAGATAGCCCATTGTGTAGCTTTGTGCTTAACTTCCAACAAACAAACAAATCATATAGGAGTTCAGTTCTTGATCAGTTTCACCAGTTAGACACTTCCTGACAAGCTAACGACTAGACAACGCACGAACATATCTTCTATAATAATAACCGCAAATGTTACTTGATAAACTGAATATAACATTTCACAAGCCGAGTGCTAGTGAAATAGAGATAGATTCTTCATTAAATTTTCTTTAATGCAACTCTTATATGGTCGTTAAGTGTGTCCCGTGCACACAAAAGGTCGACTCCAATCACTCTTCGGTAGTTAACATAATCGGTTGAATAGGAAAAATAGTCATGTTTGTTTGTTAAACACAAACTACACAATATGCAGTTTGTGCTGTACCCACTACAAGTATTGAAATCCATCAGACTTACCGTTGAGCCACCGGGGGGAGAAGAGTGGTCGGTGGCACTTTTTTTGCAATATTGGAGGTTCCCTGAAAACTAACAAATAAGATGTGATGTATAAAGATTATAAATAATGAACGCTTAATTCTGCTTATTACAACCTGTCTCGGTGTTTTCTCTGTAATATGGTGTTGTTTTACAGGAAAAGCGGAAACTGTACATATAGTGAGCAGTTCTAATCACACAATACTTTCACGTGTGTGTTGCTAACAATATTTCATGTAATTAATATATGATATTGATATAACATTTCACGTAATTAATATATGATATTGATATAATAGTTCATCTAATTAATATATGATATTGATATAATATTTCATGTAATTAATATATGATATTGATATAATATTTCATGTAATTAATATATGATATAGATATGATATCTCTTGTCATTAAGATAAGATAGTGATATAATATTTCATGTAATTAATATATGATGGTGATGCTAGGATTAGTAAACATACTCTTGTTTACTGGCAGTAAATTTACCGAAAACAAATAGGTTACTATAATTCCTGCTCACTCAAATACCTCAAACATTAGACGTAACTAATATATTTGAAAACTATTTGCAAACACGTTTTAACGCCTTATTTAAACGAGACTGTATAATGAAGCCCAGACACTCTTTACTCTATAATAAAGTCCAGACATTTTTTATTGTATAACGAAGCCCAGACACTCATTACTGTATAATAAAGTCCAGACATTTTTTATTGTATAACGAAGCCCAGACACTCTTTACTGTATAATAAAGTCCAGACGTTTTTTATTGTATAACGAAGCCCAGACACTCTTTACTGTATAATAAAGTCCAGACATTTTTTATTGTATAACGAAGCCCAGACACTCTTTACTGTATAATAAAGTCCAGACATTTTTTATTGTATAACGAAGCCCAGACACTCTTTACTGTATAATAAAGTCCAGACATTTTTTATTGTATAATTAAGTTCAAACATACTTTTCAGTATAATGAAATCGACGCATTATTTACTATATATTGAAGCCCAGACATTCTTTATTGTATATTAATGCCAAAACATTATTTACAGTATAAATAATATAATCCAGACAGTCTTTATTGTAAAGCCTAGACATTTTTTACTGTATCATGAAGTCCAGAGATTATTTAGAGTATAATAAAATTCAGATATTCTTTACTGTATGCCCCCCAGTAGCACAGCGGCATGTCTGCGGAGTTACAACGCTAGAAACCGGGTTTCGATACCCATGATGGACAGAGCACAGATAGCCCTTTGTGTAACTTTGTGCTTAATTTCAAACAAACAAACAATTTACTGTACAATCAAGCCCACGCATTATTTCCTGTATAATGAGTCCATGCATTATTTCCTGAATAATGAAGCCCAGATAATTTTTATAGTGTACAGAGTATATAACTCAAAAGTTATCGACGTCAGCAACTATGAACTTATACTACATGAAGCCAATCAACTTAACGTTTATAACGGTTTTTATTATTGATTCATACACAGATAAACTACTGATAACCCTAATTTTTAACACATCTTTATATACGCAAACTTAGGAAAAACTCTGGAGCAATCAGACAGGTGGAAAATAAGAATACGAATAAAAGAGAAACGTTTTTTTAGTAACATTTAGCTATTATCGTCACGATAAATATACTTACTTTATGAAAGTTTCAGCAGTAAGATCTCCTGAAGATTCTGGTTGTTTGCCTTGTACCGTTAAGATGGAATGAACTTGGCAATGACCGCTGCAAGCAATGTGGTCAACTGAAATCGTTCTCAATCACTTTCACTCGCTCAGCTTTTTATACGATGAAGGACGCGAGGCTCTCATGCAGAAAATGACGCTAAGCTCGTGAGCTGCTGCTCATGAAGCGAGACGTGCACGCATAGTTCAAGATTTCAAGTCAGCTTCTCGCAAGAAAACTTACATATTGCTTTCATGTCAGTGCACCATTTATAACACAGAGAAAGGGCGTTGCTTTCGAACCCTACTGTCTATGTGCTCAAAGTTCGTCTTAGTACACCTTTGTGATAGGATAATTTAATAAGTTCGGAAAGCTTTAATCATATTGTAATTAAGACCTAATGTACGTAGAGCCAATATATAATATAACAGTCCCTAATTTTGAAGTGATTACTAGAGGGAAGGCAACTAGCCAACACCACCCACCGCCAACACATAGGATACTCTAACTGAATAATGGAATTTGACTATCATTCTTATAACGCACTCACGATTCCACGATTTCTTTTGTGGTAACTGGGCGCAAACAATTGAATCTCGGATCTACAAGCTGGCACGCTAATGACTGGGTCGCAATAGTGGGGAGTTTAACATTGATTTCGGTTCATCTATTACATATGATGTGTATGCACCGAGAAAAGACAAATTGAAATCCACAAATGACTTAATTAAAATGAAACACTTTGGTGTAATTTTGATGTTATGGTTCATTTTCTATGTTTAGTTATCTTTTTACTTAAGTACTGAAATATAAATTATTTTGGAAAAAATGAAATAAGTAAAAAATGATTACAATAATATCGTATTTAAATAGAACATTAAATAGGTTTCGCCCCAATCAGTTACACTCGTGAAACCTTTCAAAATTATACATACAGCAAACCCTGAAATATCGGGAATTTGAAAATAACTAGTCAAAAAAACCTGCTGTGAAGACAAAATCATTCATACGTGTTTGTTAAGTAGCTTCTGTCACTTCAAATTTTACTTTTTATGTTTTCTTGTGTGTTTTATGGATTTAAAATAATCTAACCGTACAAAAGTTTAAGAGACGTTTCATCTCAATTTTTCGGAAATATTGTTGTCCGTATAGTTGCCGCAAAGCGGCTTGAGGGGGTATTAGTTTGTAGGCTGGTCAGTTCCCACAAGCTAGCTTGTGAATATTAACTTACATCTGACTGGTTTGGTCAGTTCCCACAAGCCGGCTTGTGGACGTTAACTTACATCTGACTAGACTGGTCAGTTTCCCCACATATGAATGAAAACCTCTGCTTTTAAACTAGCATCAATTCATGGCAATTCCTCTTAAGACTAATCTTCAAAGCTGAATGTCGGTCCTTTACACGGCTGGAGGTGAGATATGAGCAGAAGTTTGGCCTGCAACGTAAATTCTTTTTTTTTATGTATTAGAAATCACGGTGTTTAAAACTAATACATCAATGAATTGTTCACACTAATACATCAATGAATTGTTCACACCCTTAAAAACAGCAAAACATGCCGATATTTTGGTCTTGCGCTTAAAAATATTTAATGAATATTTCGATTGCCAGATTTCCCACTATTAATCCATTCTAATAATATTCTTTCTTAACTAATTTTATTACATTTCTTTATAATTGTGTTATTTTTGTTTCACGCTGAACATGTAACTTTGTTCAAAGGTTTGTAACAGTTTGTTAGTTTGAATTGACTGCATACGCTATGTATAATCCGTAGAAAGTTTTAGACTCACATTTTTCAAATAGAAATAATCACTATGTTTAACCTTAATTGCATAAACGTATTTCCCACAGCTCACTGCAGTGTCCTTGACAAAGGCATTTCCAACACTTGATTATAATATGCTTGACAAAGTATTTCGAACGATTGAATGTAAAATCATTGATATCTTATTTTTAACAGTCGATTGTAGAAACTTTGACAGACTTATTTCTTACAACTGACTGTAAGATCTTTGATAGACCTATCTCATACAACTGACTGTAAGATCTTTGACAGATAATTTCCTACAGTTTACTATAATATCCTTGATAGTTCTATTTTCCTACACCTGATGCAAGATTTTTGACAGACTAATTTCCTACAGTTTACTATAATATCCTTCCTTGATAGTCCTATTTTCTACACCTGATGTAAGATTTTTGACAGACTAATTTCCTGCAGTTTACTATAATATCCTTGATAGTCCTATTTTCTACACCTGATGCAAGATTTTTGACAGACTAATTTCCTACAGTTTACTATAATATCCTTGATAGTCCTATTTTCTACACCTGACTGTAAGATCTTTGACATATTTACTTCTTACAACTGACTGTTAAATATTAGTCGGTAGGAACCAGAGATCCAAAATAATCGTTCGAATAGCGAGATGATCGATATGTCTGTGCTTAAACCCACATAAACCAATGAAGTATTAACTAAAACATTTATGTAGAAGAGCTAATAAACTTGTGAGTGTGTTCATTTGAAACACCTTACTACATAGGTTATTAAAGTATTACCCTATATTTTATTCGCAGCACTATTTCCTGATATAGATGTAACAAACTGTTATAACAGGAAAACATTATTATACATTGGATGCAGTGGGTTTCCTCAGTTGCTTTAAAACATACGTTTAAGATGAAGTGAACTTCTTTTTAAATGCGTATGTGCTTCAAGCGAAAGGGCAAGACTAGAAAAATCTCGAAAACTAATATAGAAGTGATGAAGGATTACAGAATCCACTCGGCATCTCAGCAGGAGTGGATTTCCTGTTCGTCAATGTCGTTTTCCCAGGGCTGTTTTCTGTTCTGTTCTTTTCTTCGATATATATATATATAGTTTTTAATTCTTAGCTTAAAAGAAAGTTTAGACAGAGGGGACTGCACTTGGTTGGAAACTTTTATGGACTGCATCAGCCTGTTAAGTTGAGGACGTCGTTTAGAACTGCTAGCATCAATTTTCACTTGGTCAAACATCGTGAGTTTGTGAGGTGTAATATGGAAAGAATGCGGAATGTATCACATGACCTTAGCATACCAGAGCCCTCGTTTACGGTAGCTTTCTTTATTGTTTCAATCGGTTGGGTAGCTGGGAGATGTCCTTTATCCAAAGAACATCTTTAAACCCATTCCACCAAAACATTCTACTCATTAACTTGTACATATAACATGCACATCAAACCCAAATATTAGACTTAATTTGTAGAATCTTATTATAGAATCCTGCACTAGCAAATTAATCTGAAAATGAAAAATTTAATAAGTAAATTAAATATGTATATTGATGATACTTAGAGTTAGAATTACAAATTAAATCAAACACATGCAAATGACATAATTACATACACATAATATGGTATGTTAGACACGGATAAATTGCAAACGGAATTTTAAAAAGGAAAAAGGAATTATAAAATATAAAAATAAACATTAAAACACAGTATTGTGAATTGAAAATCTACTTTAAAACCAGCTAAATAAAAACATTAGGTAAAAGTTAAAAACGAATTTACAAAACATTATAAGTTACAAAATTATATATTATAATTTGATAACAGCATAAAGTGAATAAAGAATTATACTTATTAACTCTTTTAACCGGACTTACAAAGCTATAAACCGGGTTTCGATGCCCGTGGTGGGCAGAGCACAGATAGCCCATTGTGTAGCTTTGTGCTTAACTTCAAAGAAACAAATAACTCTTTTATATTTTCTTCTAGGTTCTAATATATTTCAGAAGAATAGAAATATACATTTTTGTAATAATTCTGATTAAAAACTATTCTAACAGTGGCTCAGCGGTAAGTCAGAAGACTTATAACACTCAAATCTGTGCTTAACAACAAATATTTATCAGAAGCAGAGTAACTAATTCATAGAGACTTTAATAGGGGTATGACTGAAGCTTTTGTAATTAATAATGATACAGAATTCTGCGATCGATTTAAATACTGTATATTAACGTTAGATCAAGAACTACAAGTATACTCAAAAACAGTCTTGTATATATATATATATTACATATTTTAAGCATTATTTTACTTCTACAGTATTCCTATTTTGATATAATTTTTTAATAAATTAACTTTATTCCATCTCTTTTAACAAGTCCATTAATATGTTTTTGCCAATTTAGTTATCAAACGTTATGCATAAATACTTAATAAAATCTGGGAATATTCCAAATGGGTAAACAAAACGGGCAAAGGTGGAAGAAAGATAATTTAGGGTGTGTAAAAAAAGCAGAAAAATATAATATATATTTAGTAATGGAAGAAAACCTACAGATTAAAAAGAGTGAATAGAAAATAGAAGATGATTGGGGATGCAAGAGTTTAAAAGAAGAAAGAAATTATGAATAAATGTTTAAATATTTAGATTATTTTCAGGTAATTGCACAGTAAATAAGTACTGAACTACAAATTATGTTAATTGTCAAAAATGTTGTGTTCAAATATGTATATATCATGAACTATTATATTGTAAGCAATAATCCTTCCTTCCAAAAGGTTGAGAGACTTAAGGAATAAATTGACTGATTGATATAATTAAATGGTTTAATAGTAACTTTACAAATATGGATAGGAGCGTCTTCTAAATCTAAAATACCTTGTCTTGTTATATGATTCTTCCATTGAAAAAAAAAGAATTTGTTTATTATATGTAATGTCTTTTTCAAACTGATACATTAATATGTTTAGTATTGTTTGGACGTGGAATACTGTTATTGTAAAGAATAGACAAAATTGAGCTTAAAACTGTATTATGAAGAAGTCCAGATGTAGAGGTAGAAAAGTCTGATATAGTATTCTTAATTCAAATGCTGTCTTTTTTGTTTGTTTGTTGCTGTTGTTTATAATAAAATTATTTATCAGCTTAGTTAAAGTATCTGATAAGTAAAAGTTATGTGTTGATTAATACATGTTCATCCATGATGCCACATTTTATCAAATACTTTTTCGATATTTAAAAAAAT